CATTGCTGGGTTTTACAATCAAGTTGATCATTCTCGTATGTTACAGGCTGTTCAATTTGCTGTGTGTCGGTTTTGTGAACTTCAAGGACAAACATTTGACTCTTTTCTCAACATTCATCAAGAGACTACGGAACGCACTTTACGAATTTTTCGTGGATTTTGGCGGTCACATAGCCACAAATACCGACCAATTTGTCTTGCCCATATACAACCGCTCAGCCAATACCTTTTGAATCATAGTTATTTCAGTATTGGAGGCACAGTATTCCAACAGCGTCGTGGTGCAAGTATGGGTTCCCAATGGGCACCCATTTTCTGTTCAGCAGTTGCATTACTCAGAGAATGGATTTTTCATTCCTATTTTCAGGTCTTTCGCACAAACATGAATTTTCATCATCGGTATGTCGACAACCGCTTGATTCTAGCAACAGACATCGATCGCGCCAGTCTGGACTTTGACCTATTTTGGAGACTGGATTTCTATACAAATCCCATCCTTTTGGAACCAGTACCTGGTGATGAAGCCCTGGGATACAAAATTGATTGCCTACAACATACCATTACTTTGCAGTTACCATGGAACAAACCCTTGAGACACAGCTCTGGCTGTGGTGTCTCACGTACCGCCCTCAGTGGTCTTATTGCTCGTATTCGACTCATTCTCACGGGCGTGTATCCACAACATCTTCATCTACCTCAAATTCAAGATCTCATTGGACTGATATCATCTCGAGACTCTGCTCTTGTGACCACAGATTCCGCACGCAAGACCATAATGACTGTTATCCACCAAGTCCATCCACATTTACAAGCGCGTGATGTTTTCAGATTCGCTTAACAAAAAGGAGTGAACAGCTTACTCAATCATTCTTAACTTGTCGCACTCTGTTGTTTTTTGCCAAATAGAGATACGCATGAGAATGTGATTTGTGTGTAGTAACTTATTCATGGCTGCATCAGTTCAAACCTTTCAATGTTGGGTTCAAGTCTGTCGCCATTTACAGACCATCGGATTTACCTCTACTCTACACTGGTTCTACTAACATGAATTGATCTCTTTTGCCCTTGTCCACAACAGCTGTCACAATTTCTCCATGTTAGACGTCGATTGTATAGTGCTCTGAGTGGTGTCGGGACCTCAGTTACCCCCAATCATGCTTTAGGTTTCAGAGTTCTAAATGCCTCAAGATTTTTGACACAGAAGATTTTTCGACAAAAAAAAAAAAAATCGACATAATCACCAGACCAGAGTTATCAGCCCGGACCTCGGACGCTTTCGTTCACTGAATTGAATCCACCACGATCAATGGTCGGCGGCCTAGTCTTTTGAAATACCGAAATCCAGACAGCGTTTTCACTCCTCTGTTAGTGTCTCGTAACATTTCAGGACAGCGATTCTGTTATTTGAGTGACAATGTGCGTCTGTCATTTTAACTAATTAATTTCTTTATAAGAGTATTCGACATAACAACCTGACGAGAGTTATCAGCCCGGACCTCACATGCTTTCGCTCACTGAACTGAATTCACCACAAACAATGGTTGGCGGCTTAGTCTCATGAAGTACCGCATTTCACACAGAGTTTTCGCTCCTCCATTAGTGTTTTGTGAAGTTTCAGGACTGCCATTCTGTCACTTGAGCGACAGTGTGAGCTTGCCATTTCAACTACTCATGTAATTTCGTCATCGCCCTACGGGGCTTGTGTGTGTGTGAAACCCGTTATAACATACGGATATTTTACAATTTCGTACAACGAAGCAAGGAAGACAATATGTGGCGACAATAAGAACTGAATTTTAATTCAGACATGCAGGGGGCTGGAGTGTGAATCAGAAGTCTCCAGCCAACGAAGACGCTTCTGATGTCACAGTGATATCAACCTGGGACGCTGGGTTGACGTACCTGCAATGTTGGTTTGAACTTTTGCACAAGCTGTTCTATTACCTTGTTTTTGAGTCCTTTGGCAAGAATCGATTGCCCAAATTTCACCGTTTGCAACCGTGCCCCATCGAAGGTGACTTAGGAAATCAGGCGACGGCAAGTTCTACTCTCATCATCATCAAATCAACCTAAGCAGCGTGTGACCATTTATAGTTGATTTTCCCATTAAACATGGTGATTTTCCATAGCTATGTTAGTTTACCAGAGGGTATATATAAAATATTGGGGGTGGAAATGACCATTCACACAATTTTCCACGGTGAAGTGGTTGGGACCTCGATGCGCCTTCGCCATCCCAGGCCGGGACCCTGGGACCTCGATGAGGCCGACTCTTTTGCATCGGCACGGCTTTCGTGCCACTGCTCAAGGCCTTGGACTGGTGGCGAAGACATCTGACATCATCTGACCCAACGTTTGGTAGGATTCATATGGAAAATTCATGAAGATTCTCCATAAACAATAGGGAAAATCATAGGCCCCATAAATGGAGGTTTATAGCTGGGAAAATCATCGAAGTAAACCTGGGATGTTTCAGCAAGCCATGTTTGATTACCGGAGGTAATGAACCACAAGTTGTATGCCCCATCCAATCGGAGAGGAAAAAAACATGTTTCCTATGACAGATTGCCTGAAATAGCTTCAACGCAACTGGATCATCACCTCAGGCCAAGGCAAACATGAGATCGACTCACCCTCTGCTGCAACTGATGATCATAGGCAGCAACTTGTATGGGTAAACAATCCAAGACTGCAGTGATGGGTTTGAGCCGCTTCAACAAGTCACAAATCCAAGCAAGGAACTGATGTTCCGTCCCATGTTGTGCAGTAGTTCCATTACTTTGACCAAAATCATCATGTCCACTCCAAAAGAGACATATCTTCAAAGCCTGGGTCTTTGGGGCGTCCATTTCAATACGTCACTATATATATACATATATATATATGTGTGTGTACGTATACTATATGTCACTTGGTGTCGGTTCACTTCCCCCCGCCACCAGCAGGAACTCTGAAGCATTGACTGATTTAAGTGGACCCCTCAGACAAACCACGATGGATGATGATGGTTTTGGATGGTTTTGGAATCCATCGCGCCCAATATGCCTATAACATCTATAACATGTAATTATTCAAAGATCTTCCAAGCAATCATGGCTGGAATATGCTGGAATCTGGTTGAGAGATATTGCGGGGATAATGGTTAGGTTCATAAATCAGCTGCCTGAATCCCAGGTTGCCACTGGGCCCCAGAACACTCGGCATGCAAGTTCCTGTCAGAAAAAAAAGCCGCGCGCAGGCATCTCAAAATCATCCAATCTCAAAATCATCCAAAATCAAATTTCCTTGCAAAACAAAAAACTTTCAGCAACATTCCGCGTGAAGGAAACGTATGACTTATATAAACTCATGCAGACGTGTGTGTTTTCCATAAATGAGGGTGCCCAAAACTGGATGGTTTAGATTGGAAAATCCATCTATAAAATTCTATATTTTTCCTGACTGGGGGTCCCCCCATGTTAGGAAACCCCAAATGGCCCGGCTTTGACCCAGGGGATCACCGCTGTCCCGTTTTTCCGGCCTGCCACAACCAGCGCAGCAGCAGGAGGTGCTCAACGTGGTCACCGGGTCGAAACAGACCGGACACGGCCTGGTCGAACATGTCATGGGATGAGAGGAAAATATGAAGGACATGTCATGGGATAATATATGATACCCTCTGGTTATTTAACATAGCCATGGAAAATGGCCCATTTATAGATGATTTTCCCATAAATACCTCCATTTATAAGGGATTTTCCATGGCTATGTTAAATAACCAGAGGGTAACATATGTATACAGTTTCTACACCTAGTGACCTAGTGGAGTATGGATTACATTGCACGTGTATGTTATGTAATATCGAGGTTTCCTAAAATGGGGGTCCCCGAAATCATCCATCAATTGATGGATTTTCCAATCTAAACCATTCAGCTATTGGGATGCCCCCATTTATGGAAACTACCAACACATGTATGTTTATACATATATATATATATGTGTGTATAAACATAGTAATCATATCAAAATACCCTCTGGTGAACTAACATAGCAATGGAAAATCACCATTTTTCATGGGAAAATCCACTATAAATTGCCATTTTCCATTGCTATGTTAGTTCACCAGAGGGTATATCAAATCATACATGTAGTGTTTAGACTCGCCTGTCATGACCTCAGCAACCCCCTTTCTATCTGAGCATATCTGAGCTCCCCCAGCTGCCCAGCTTCTTCGCGCAGGACCTCGGCCTTTTGACAGGCCTTCACCACCTTGGAAAACCACCATTTTTTGAGGGGGAAATCCATGGGAAAATCCAGAAAATCAACTATCAATGGCAATTTTTTAGGGGGGCATTCTATGTTTGAACCAGGTGAAAAAAACCCAAATGTTTGGCAAATTACTGCCAGCGCACATACATATACCATTAATATACCATCATATCAAGGATCATCTTGGGACACTTGATTGTCGCTTTCAAAAGATGTTGATCCGATCGCGCGTCCTCTTTTTATCCAACACCAAGCAATGATCAACGCCGATGGCAAAAGCGGATGGGACCTGGACCCAGTTGTGAACGACTTGATTGGACATGGATATCCAAACACTGGCTTAGATCTGGGTAAATTATAATAATTCACAAACTTGAATTAAGGTCATTTGGGGATGATTTCCCTTATTAACTATGATTATAGTGAGGTCGCAGTGAGGTCGTTATAATTTACCCAGTTAGATATGCCGAGATCGGACTTAGTAACTTAGTAAGGATACATGACGAGCATCCACACGATTCTAATCCCATCGCGCTTTGAACGAGGATTCCGAAATTCCAGCAACAAGCCTTCTAATCCTTTCAGACGCCTCGGGGGTCACCACATTGACAGAAGTTTTTGTTTTTCAGGGATCTTCAGAGCATTCTCTCTTCAAGGGTTTGAAAAGTTAGCATATACCAAACCTGTTGATGAAAAAAATCCCCCATCCTATGAAATGGGACACATGGCCTTTTTTCAGACATAGCCTTGAAATTTCCGGACCCCCAAGTGCAGGTCACCGTTCGTTTTGACTCTAGGGCCGGTTGCAGTCGTAGAGCACCCTGACCTGAGGCTGATGAGTCATTGGGGGTCATCATCCCATTTATTCGCTTGAACAGAATGATGATACATTAACATCAGTGTATGTTAGTATACAGTCATGTTAGTATATACTTATATACTATCAATTGAATAGTTAGTATATGTTAGTATATTCTATTATCAATTGATCCTAACTATTAGTAACTATTATGGTGTTGAAGAGTTGATACTAACTATTATCATTAGTACCCTCTGGTAAACTAACAGTTTGCCATTGAAGCCATGGCAATTTATAGTGAGTTGTCCCATTAAAAATAGTGGATCTTTCCATAGCTATGTTAATTTACCAGAGGGTAATGGCTTTGACACCACTGGACCAAAAAAACATCAGAAATCCAAGCCATATGCGAACCATGGTGCTGGTATATTTACCTACAAAACTGGGTGATTTTGTGGCAAATGATGGTAAATATTCCAGCACCATGGTTCGCATATGGGCAAGTATGGGAATGCTAATGGAGGTCTAAGGAGGAACAATTGAAGATCGATGATAATTCCAGTTGGCCAGAAATCCAATTTTATATTGGCTTCTGGAACAGGCTGACGCAGAAAATCGCAGAAAGCAGTCTTCTCTATCTTTGGGAACATCTCAGCCTCATCTGGCTGGGATCTATAGCATAAATGGCCAACATCTACTGCAGTAATTTTGACTCATTCCTCTCGGTTTGTATGAAGATTGCGAAAATGCGGAAAGTACGGCACACCCAAATCCGCTGCCGGATGATCAGCATTAATTCCTGTTGAACTCATTTCATCTTACTTGCATCAATCCTATATTACAATGATACTTTGGGAGTGTCAATTACAAGGTATATCGTGGTATATGGTAGTATCCCTTGAGATTTTTGACCACAGGTGCCACAGGACACTTATGTTGCCAAGCTGCAATGGATCCTGTTCCGGCCTGTGGTCGAAGGACCCGTAGGACCCGGGGTCACTTCCCCGAACTGCACAGCGTTATGGGTTTTTGGATGTCTGAAGACATTAACCACGTGTGAAGTTGTCATATAATGTCAACCCCCAGATTTTTCTCAACCATTGAACCATGGTTCTCAATTAAATTGGGTAGCCTCCAAACAATACCCTCCGGTAATTTAACATAGCTATGGAAAATCACCATTTTTAATGGGAAAACTCACTATGAATGGCCATTTTCAATAGCTATGTTAAATTACCAGAGGGTATGATACTTGATTGGTACCCCCCAACAGCCTTAGTCGTTCAGGCTCGACATGGATCCTTAGCTCCATGTTTCACCAATGACTGGGTGGTGGTTGAGCGTTGAGCCCCCTCTGAAAAATATGAGGCAGTTGGGAATATGACATTCCCAATATGATGGGAAACATAAAAGCCATGTTCCAAACCACCAACCAGATGATGTTAATGTTGGTAAAGCAATCATAAACGCATATGGATTGATGTTGGTTTATCCCAGCCATAAAAAATGAGTACAACGAAAAACATATGAAAACAACCTAGTTGTTCAAATGGCTTCAACTGGCCCCCCCTTAAGAATATACCTTCCTCGCATTGCCTTCTCCACCAGTGCTGCATGCCAAACGAAGAGCTGTGCGTTGGTGCGGGAGGGGAGGCTTTGGCTCCAAAACCTTTGTCCCCAAGGGCACAGTGATACCGGGAGATCATCGGGGGTGATATGGGGGAGATCATCATTCCAAAGGACGGAGATGGGTGTTGAACTTCCAAAGCTGGAACTTTTCTGGCTATCTTCATCCAACTACTCTGGTTGAGAAACGGCAGGAAAATCATGACATTCCGTGGTTAAATTTGAAGGGGGTGTTGCATATAGATCCCTTCCTCAGCATGGACAGTGTGTTTCCCCGCACTTCAGCACATCCATAACGACGGATCTGCTGCTGGTCTCAACAAACTGATGATAAGACCCCGGCTTGTACAAGTATTTCATCAACGTGTTCCTTGGCTGTGGCAGGTCGAGACATGTCGTGAAAGGGACGGGACATCTATCATCCGCTATAGGATTGATGGACAATCAAACACAGTGGAATACACCGAGGGCTCCATCTGTGGTGCTTCTCAGGATGCCATCCACCTACTGTAATCCTATATCATTCCAAAAAAAAAGCTCAACCTTCAAACAAGTGGGCTTATATAATGAACATACAGTAAATACGTGATATGTATGTATATATATATATAACTATAAATAATTAGTTATATGTATGTAAAACATATAATAACATATATATATATATAAATTCCACCATTGTCCGCCCCTTCAAATACGCGCCCGAGGCGCTGCTTCTCCTCGTCCAGCTTCTCCGTGGCCTCCTTAATCTCCGCCTCGCGGAAGGCCGACAGGGCGTAGAGCACCGTCTTGGCGCCCTGCAGCTTCACCTCTTCGGGTGCACCTCAGTGGAGTGACGCCAGTGACCTGCGGCCTTTTAAAGGATGGGGATGGATGGGGATGGATGGGGATGGATGCCGGGGGTAGGAGGTGACCATGGTGACCATGGTGACCTACAAATATATGGTGAAGATTCATGGGAAAGTGGATGCGAAAAATGATTGAAAGCGGAGCTCATAGCTGGCTTGGTCTAGCCGCCTAGCCTGTTTTAGGACCAACCCTTGTTTCCAGTTGGAGATCTGCGGGAATTCATCGCGGAGAGCATCCTAAGGCCAGTTGAAGTGGTTTTTATGGGACAATTTCCAGCCCTTTTATGGGTCCATGTTGCAGCGGGGATCAGGCTGGGGATCTCTGCTGATAAAGATTCATGAAGATGGCTGGGTCGGGGGCAAAATTCAAGTCACAGATTTTATGCATCATTTTAAGGCCTAACAAGCCATGCCTTAACCCACCAACAAAAAGCATGTTAAACACGAAGCATGTCCAACTGATGTGGGTCCCCAGATTCAAACTCTGCAACGAGGCGCCGTAAGGTGGGTCCCTAAGGGCCTCTGCCAGGGCCTCCTTACTCTTTCGAGCCTTCAGTAGCTCCTGCCATGGCCAAATCTTGAGGGGCTCAGATGGGTCCAACATGGTGCAATTCTTTAACATAGCGACATAGAAGCCATGGCCATTGAAATAGTGGATGACTACCCATTAATTAAAAATGGTGGTTTTCCAGAGTTATGTAAACGTTTACCAGAGCGTATGTTTCGAAGTGTTTTTGTTTGAACCAGGAACCAAAAATGAACAACTGTCCATACCTGGAAGCATCTTGCACTAGTTTGTAGCCCCCATAATCCCATGTATAGGCAGAGGGTATGATCATATCTGGTAGGGGCTCATGATTATGGAAATGTCAAGGGAGTAGAATTAGGGAACTCGTTTGTTGATCTCTCCCCAACTGCGGTCATCCGGACATCTCTGATTGCCATTTTGGGGAATGGGTCAAAACATGTCAACATTAGATATTGGGTGCAGTACCCCGAAAAATGGGGGAAGGCAAAGGAAACATGAACCCCCTGGTGACTTCATACAGTAATCATTTGAGAGCCAGGTGGCCAGAAGAAATTGGAATACCGTCTCGTAATTTAACAGTTTGCTATTGAACATTGCCAGATAGTTGGCCAAACCTATTCAAAACGGTGGTGTTACATCGCAAACTGTTCGTTTACCAGAGGCTAGTACCAATCATATATCATCATATATCCTAAGAAATCCCCAATTCCCATTCAATTACTATTCCCACTCCCTATGAATATCCCCATGAAATCCCGGATTAAATGCCATGAAAACTCCCAATGTCGATAGCTGAACGCCGCCGTCCTCCACGGCTGCCTTGTGCTGCATGACCTTTGCCCGCCATTCTTCTTCGCTCAGCTCCGCCATGGCGATCGGCAACGTGGAGCACAAACGGTGCGTGTTTTAAAAGCGATGAACATATGACATATGGTATATATGTATACTAATGGGACATTTATTAATGGTGTATATATATATACACCATTATACACCATTATACACCATTATACACCATTATACACCATTATACCTCATTATACACCATTATACACCATTATTACCAGCCATATATATACCTTTAATAGCCATTATTATCATTATTATTATTATCATTATTATTATCATTATTATTATTATCATTATTATTATCATTATTATTATCATTGTTATTATCATTATTATTATTATTAATTTATATATATATGGTGCGTTTATTAATGGTGTATATACTAATGGCCATATATATATATAAGAATAGTAATGGTCATATGCTAACGGTATATATGTATATTAATGGTATACAATGGCCATATCATCCCATACATATGGCATCTATATTTTTCACCTATATAAATATATTGTTATATAATTATATATATATATATATTGTATGGGATGATATTTGCACATGGCCAGAACTGTCCAGTGGACCTATGTGAATGTACGAGACTTGTATGTGTATTTTTGGGGTTCATGAATGCATAACAACCTGCAAATCTATAGATATAGAGTCGGATTTAGATGTAAGCAACAAAGGGATACTATTCATATGTATATATATATGGAAAACAGATAGAAGCCGTGTATATAATTGAATAATTCTAAAAATACATTACAAAAAATACAAAAACAACAGGCCAACGACCGACAGCATGAGAGCTTGCATTTGCATGTCCCCCTCAACATCCACGCTCACCCGAGCCGAAGCTCTGCAGGAATGGATCCGCGAGATCTGGTATCAACTCCTCGAATCGGGAGCAAATCATGTTGAGCCACGCACTTTTCCCCTTTGGACATGGATTAAGAAGCATCTTTTTCCATATTAGTAGGGCTGTACACGGCACAAAAACGCTGCATAACATGTCGTTACCCTGCAATTAATGTATGACATATCTAAGCATATGAAACCAATTATTGGAATCGCAAAAAAAATAGCTTTAATATGTTACTCCCCAAAGATGTTATGATGTTCTGCAAAAATGGGGCTCCAGGCGTGCTCTGGTGCCTGAACCTGTCAGATCCAACGTGGATTGAATGTGTTTGATGTCAGACTCACTCTTGATTACCAACCAATATCAACCACATCTCATATAAGTGAGCCACATCTCATATGTGATTTATGATGTGATGATGATAATAGTTGAAGCGTGTTTTTTGCTTGTGGTTCATCTCTCTGACAGAAAAAGACAGAAATGAAATGTTATTGATTCATGTTGATTGCTATGTGTTATTCCAAAGTTCCAAGAAATTGTCATATCATCTCAGGCCTAGATCCAGCCTGGATGAAGACTTGACGAAATGGAGCTCAAGAGACCCCCGATGACATCCACAGAATTCTCAACATTCTGCCATCCACCGCACCCGCACACACACAATACACACAATATACATATTCTGTATGTGTATATAACTATATATATGTGTGTATGTGTCCATAATTAGTATATACAATGTAGAGTATAAAAATATTGCCCTATATAATTATATTATATAATATGATTATATGTACGTATGTTATGTACATCGTATATATATATATAATTACCCATGTATACCCACAAACATGCACCCTGATTCACAGCAGTGTCAAGTACTTGATGGTGAAATCACCTGCGCATTTGGCGCCTCTGCTGCCAACTCTGGGACCTTCTCCAAGCCTCAACTGGTGCTAAACGCAGGGAATGGGGGAATGATCCAGAAGAACCATTACCCTCTGGTAAACATACAAAAAACTATGGAAAATCACCGTTTTAAGTAAGTTATAAATTGCAATATTCAATAGCAAACTGTCAGTTTACCAGAGGGTAACATCATTAACACAATCATCCCATTCTCCCATTTCCTACTAAGCATCAGTAAAACAGTTCTCCTCATATCTTGGAATTTGCTATCAGAGCATGTTTTTTAAGAGAATGACTTTCCATTCAACAACTCCAAGAAAATATGCGTTGATAAAAACATTGTCAAGCAATATCTTGAATAAGAGCGGAATCCGCCACTCCTTTTCGATATCCGCACGGCAACTTCCAAGCAAAACAAATATTTCTTTCAGACCCCTTTGTTTGCTTCTATGATATGCTAGATTGCTAGATTCATGGTCTGGTTAGTGGCTGCAACTCAAACGAAGTCCTGCAGTGGTAAATAACTAGTTCGAAAAAACTCTGAAACACAAACCAGTAAAACCAGTAGACCCCTGAAAATCTTCAAGATAGCATCCAATGCTTTTCCCAAATGAAGTGGAAAAAATCGGACTCCCCATGGTTGATCCTTAGTCCCATCAAACGGCGACCCAACAAATTTCGATACGTTTCCACCGGTTCCACGCGAATTTGCGAGTCTCAGGGTCCTTGTTAATTGGAGATTCTAGGGCAGATTAATATCTGGCTTGTCACTAAGCTGAAGTGTTCGGCTATGTTGGGATAGTCATCCCGATAACCAACATTCCAGTGACCTCGCTGTGAGGTTGTGATGTTTTTTTCTAGGTACTCTCCCATTCTATCTATCCTGCTCTAGATATTCTCCCATAATATCCCATTCTAGATATAGCTCCGGAAAACCCACATTTGTAGATCATTTCCCGAAACTCATGGAAACCATTGGTTTTCCGCATCTTTTTTTGTATTTACTCTATAAGGTATCCACCACCGAAGGTATCCACCAAAAAAAAATTATGACCACTAAAATTAGCAATTTTCAAGGTCTATAAATGAATTGATTGGTTTAAGAGGGAAATTTTACAGGAACTTTATGGGAAAAATCCCATGGTTTCCTGTAGATCCCGTAAACTCCATTGAATTTGATCATATTTTATCTACTTCACTGGCAAAAACCCATGGGTTTCCATGGGAAATGGCCGGGCTCCACCAGAAACCATGGCCATTTCCACGTCATCATCGCCGCTCGGCTCAGCCTCCCGACGCTTTCTCAGGTCGCTGAGCTCCTGCGCAACCAAGGCGCGCTGCCACAGGCGTGGGTCCTGCCGTGGGTCGTGGTGGCCGCATCTCAAAGTTCCCAAGGGAAATCATGGGAAAATCATGGGAAATCACATAGAAATCAATGGGATTATTAATATTAATATTAATATTAGTGAATATTAATATATATATATATATATACATACATAATGGAATATATAAATGATATAACGTTTAACCTATTTGGATTGATGATTTTAATGAGGATATATAGAAATGAATGGGAAATTATGGGGGATTAATTGGATATTAAGCAATGGAAATAATGAATAATAATGGGATATATACATATATAAATTAATAGCGGTACACGTTGTGAAACCAAAGTTGCCGGGAAAATTGTCAGGAAAAATAATCATTTATAATAAGGATATTTATAATAGAAGGTAATGGAATATAATATGATATAACATGATAATACATTGTGGATTGATATTTTTTGGGATATGATATGATATGATAGACATTAATGGATTGATTTATGGGGAAACCTCTGGGAAAGCATGGTCTTTACTTTTTACCCCAACTTGTTTGCGAGGTCTTGCGGATTTTCCCTTCATCCTTAGACCAAGTCGTGATGAGTGTCAGAAAGTCAGCGGATTTTTGCATCTTTCTGAAGGAAAAGGACATGAAACTTTGCTCGATGATCACCCCTCCGTTATGATGCGTGAGGCAAGGCAGAGCCAGACTTAGTCAACTGGCCTAGTTCAGGACAGCACAGGCCAACCCGATTGATGCGAGCAATTTCGGGGAGAAAAGTCACTGCTTGTCCAAATAGATCAAATTAATATGTCTGGGCCAAAATCTGCCCCAGCTGGGTTCCTGGTGCATTCAAAATCCCTTCGGTGCTCAATGCAGCCGAGCGACATCGTCTGGGAGCTGAAAGACCTTAGAGTCGAAGCAACCTAACCTGGCCATCTAACCTGGTTGGAATTTCGATAGAAATGAAATACCAGGCTGGAGTTCATCTGTACTGCCCAACGTATGTGGGTCATGGAAAACACGCTGCGAGTCAATCCATGAAAAACCCATTCTTCTATAGATGGTGTTCCCACTCTTTCCAGCCATCTTGTACCAAAGGCTACCCCAGGCGGTTTCTCCACAATTTCACCATGATCAAGCAAAAATCTTGGGCTAAAACCCGCAGGAAGAGGAAAAGGAGATGTTTGCAGGCAGACTTCGCCTCACAGTTCCCAGCTTTCACACTGGCGATCCATAGGCACATTGCGTACCCAAGAAAAACCTTGGGAATATCAATTCTCGAATTAAAATAATATGTTCTTCCATTGGTCCCCACCCTGGCACACTATTCTGGACATAGTTTCTGACATACCAAATATATATGGCATATATTTATACATGTATATTCTGACATTCTATCTGACATTCTTTACAGCATATACTCTAACATTCTATCTGACGTTCTTTCTGGCGTTCTATCTGGCATCTATTCTGACATACTTTCTGGCATGTCTTCTGACATTCTTCCTGGCATTCTATCTTGCATCCATTCTGACATTCTATCTTGCATTCTATGTGGCATCTTTTCAGGTATTCATTCTGTCATTCTACCAGTATCTGGCACCTACTCTGACATTCTAAATGGCATTCTATCTGGCATATATTCTGACATTCTGTTTGGCATTCTGTCTGGCATTCTCCCTGGCATGTGTCGGGGTCCAGGCGTGCCCAGCTGCATCTGGAGCTCGCGATATGGCTTACAACAAGTGAAACCCACAGTCACGAGGAGCTGCAAAAGGGGCACACCAGGAGCAAAGGAGAAGAAGTAGGAGCAGGAGTATAGGCGGAAGAAGAAGAAGAAGAGAAGGAGGAGTTGCACGCAGGTGGGGCAACATCAATGACAATCTATGACATATACCCATTTTCTGTCACACCATACTCCCCGTCCCC